ATTAGAGCTCTTCTGAATTCAGAGAAAATACAGACAAAACAGCATTAGAAAGAACTTTTGTTTTTATTAGCTTGACAAAAATTGCACATGATTGTTTTTTTTTTTAGCTCCATCATTCCTCCCGTCAATGGCCTGGCGTCCAGAAACACCTTTTCTCTTTCGGTAGAAAACTTATATTAAAACAGATGGAATAATTCAAAGAACCCTGGGAACAGAGAAGGCTGTAACCAAAGATCTAACCGTTGTCTTCACTGTCCTGGTCCCGACAGGCTTTTATTCATGAATTGCCTTTTCACAAAACAGGTCCACCACTAAGAGAGAACAAGAGAAGAGAAGTAACAGGAAAGCAGTTATCAAAAACCACGACAGATTTTCAAGACCCAAAGCTCGCAATGAGCAAACTTAGATCGATGCACTTTTGAAATATACCTAATATTTCAACTATTTTTTTTTGTTCTTTTCTTTAAAAAGCAAACCTGCTATGGTTAAGTCTTCAACAGAGCCAAAGCCGAAACAGCCTCTCACCTTACTGGGTTTGTCACTCTGAGGATCAAAAACCTTTTCGCAAAGCCTCAAGCCGGTTTCTTGCCTCAGTTGCTGCAAGTACCCTCGCATAACCTCTGAAAGTAGGAAAGAGCACAGCTAGAAACGGATCCCACCAGAGCGCTTGTAAGTCAAAGAATGAAAGTTTAAGATCTTTTCCTTTTTCCCAAAACTACCAGCATATTATTCCAATGTTATGCCCAAAAGTGAGCTGTGCAAAACTCAGGTGTTCTTATATCTAACTAGCCGTGTTTATGAATGAGATTTGGCTACACTAGCTTGCAATTTTCCTTTTTTTTCTACCCCCAACCTGCTTACCTTCCTCCTGCTTGTTGCTGGGTCTGGCATAAAGGGCATTCAGTGGGAATCCCGGTTCTCCGGGAATCGGGAAATTGGTGATCCCCAAAGTATACATTTCTTTTTCCCCCTGGCCTTTGGAATTGCACTGAAAACAAAATCAAAATGAAAATAAATACCAATTTCAGTAAATTTTCTCTCTGAAATAAAACTTTTTAGGTTCTGTTTAGGGGGAAAAGTGTCCCAATAATCTTACAATTTGCACTACATTTTATTTTTTTGGATTTCTGAGCTCTTTTTTTTTTTTTTACTTAAAAAACGTTCTGTTGTTTATTTTAAAGCACCGCAAAACCCCTGGCCCCTCACCTTCTGCAGCTTTTTCAAGCACTCCGAAATATAGAGAGTTATGTAGATCAAAGTTCGGTCAGCCTCATTCTGCAAGAAAGGAAGAATTTAAGATGGAATATCAAGTCTGCTTTTTCCCCTCTCAATTCAATTTCAATCCAACCTTTATTGTCAATGAGTACAATGTGTACAATGAGATTGGCTGAGCCTCCTTTAGTGCACACACCCCCAGCATAAATACATAACTCACAGTGAAAAAGAAAACCCCTAACCTAAAAAAAATCATACTAACACACAATCCTCTATAAGAACTTTATTTTATTTTTCCCTTTAATCTCTCACCGAGGGACTTGGGAGAACAACTTTTTAAGACCCATTCCCCCTTACCTTAATTTCATAATTTTTAAAGAACACATTGGCTTTGAAGTAGTAGATGGCTTCATCAATTATGTCTGTATCTTTTGCTGGTGAGAAAGAGGGAAACCCAATGTCTTTTGAGTCATCATGAAAGAAAGAACATTTCCTAAAAATCATCCACAGACTTCTCCCTACAAGGAAGCTGTTGCAGCACAATATATTCATTTATTATTATTAACACTTCTGGGCCGTGCAAAAAACAAACAAACGGGATCAACCATGACACAATGACAAAGGTACTGACCCACAGGAGGGGATGCAAAAATCCAAAATATCCCCCAATAATCATAGAACCAAGGATTTTTCAAGCCATAGGATTAGCTGGCTGGGGAATTCTGGGAGTTGAAGCACACCCAGCTCAAAGTTCCTAAATTGAGGAGTCCAATGTTGGGGACAAGGATAAGCTGAAGAAGATTGATCCACTTACTTTCACGAGGAGCCGGCCCTTTGAACTGACTCCTGATGGGCAGCAGAGCCATGTTCCCCACGAGTTTGGTGTCGGGGTCCATCAAAGTTGAGTGATAGGCCTGTCATGGAAAAGAGGGGGGGGGTTGATTGGCAGCGAAGGAGGACCATGCATGGATCTCCTTAGAAACCACCACCAGATGCCACCACCAGATCTGCTTTGAGAGCATGAAAAGCAACTAGAAACGTTGAGGAGGGTCGGCAACTTACAGCCCACCGGCTCCAACCTGCCCCCCCCCCCAAATTACCCCCGCCCCGAAATTTGTTCCTTATTCAAGGGCGAGAAACAGGGAGCCCCTCGTTCCACTGGCTACTCCACTACCAGACTGGCTATATTCTAACCTTGGAGGATTGACCTTTTTCTGGCAGGAGCTCCAACCTGGTGCCCCCCCAATGTCCTGCCCCCACATACCCCTCCTCTACAAGTGAGGGACAGAAATGGGAGTTTTGGGGTGGCCCACCTGCCCCTGGAATCCCCCCCACCCCTCGTAGCCCCCCCACCTCCTGGCAGCCCCCGCCTTCCTCCTGGCAGCCCCCCCCCCCCGCTTCCTGGCAGCCCCCCT